GCACCATTTAAACTTGGTTAAATTTGGTTTGTATAACTGCTGAAAGTTATTTGTATTTCCTCCTCTGGCCACTCAAGTGTGATGCCTTTCACGCTTAAATTACACAATATGTTAAATGTGTGTAGCAATATTTTATGGACCTATACATGTGTGCTAATTTTATCAAGCCTATAATTTCCTGCACTATCATCTCTGTGTATTAAACTAAACAAAGGCTGTAAGACATGTTTAGTCCACAGGTCTGCTGGAAGGATATTTTACAAATTACTTTAATGGTTCTAATGCGTTACTGAATGCATTTGTGGCTTTGTTTGTTTTTGCCCAAGGGGAGATAATACACTGCCTCTCATCCCAGTGTCAACAAACTTCCACTGTAAAAGTGTTCCTTCCACACATGACCCAATAAAATGCATTTTTCCTGAGGAAATTAAGAAATATTCCATCTCCCCATTACCAGTTATGTTTGTTTGGGTTTCTCCATATTTGTGTGTCCTTCCTTATTAATGCCTTCATAAACAAATATCTTTGCATATAATGAATATGATAATTCCACATGTGATGCACCAAAATCATTATTCCACACAGATACAGTATATGTCAAGAATGCTCTGTATTTTTTATAAGACGGCATGCACACATTTTAAATTACTGCAGTATTTTTTTTTTCTTGGCACATCCCCTCAAATCTCTAACAAATTGGTGCTAATCAAGTTAAAGGGAGCCTTCCTGCCCTCCTCGTCCCTCTAAACTTTCAGAGCATTTAGTCATGCACCTGCCATTTCCTCATTCCTTTGCGCTCTTCCCTCTAAATTACTAGAAGGTGATATACGGCTTGGGTGTCCCAAGGCTACAGGAGATTTAGAACTTTGTCCCATATGAAGGAGAGGTGAGAAAAGACATTACTATGCAGAATAGGTAATATTGAAAACGTCAGAGCTCTTTATGGTGCCCCATGCAGATTATCAATCTATTTGTGTAACTTGGCCACCCAGAATTTCATTTCCCTTTTCATTTATTTGCCTTGCTGCAACCGTTTACAGTGCCGAAACTGAAAATTGAAGCCATGACAAGCAAGGAAGCAATATTCCAAGGGCAAAATAGGCCTCCCTTGCTGTGTGATTGCAAAGGTTCATTTGGGGTGGGGTGGATAAGGGGGTGGGTGAAGTGACCTCTTTTTGATGAGCTCAGTGGAATATTTTGAGAAAAGCAGGGTGTCCATGTATGGTCATTTACACTTTGTTCATAGGGGCTGAAGCTTTTTTTTTTTAAAGTGTTCTTGGGAATCCACACAGGCTTCTTGCCTTTGAAAGAAACACTTGTTAGTATTGCCCTGTATTGAATTCAGCACCATGGGCAGAGGCATACATTTGCTACTATTGCTGTATGTTAGTTTCAGCACCAAGGACAGAGGCATCTCTCTCAGCATCTATCTGTATAAAAGCCCTTTGATGCTGCTGTCTTACAATTGCAGTCTAGTCACTAATATAGTTGTAAATATTAATAAAGTCCAACCTTGATTTATTTCACCAAGGAGCTTTGGAAACTAGATAATTATTTATATTTGTAGAAATGAAATCATTTGATTGCATCAAACAGATTTTGGGGTGAATGTATTGAGTTTACAGAGAGAGAGAATAAATATGAAAATAGTTTGACAGACTGAGAGCCTTGAGTATTGCTCTAAGCACGCCTGTGCAGTGGGCACAAATGATTTTCAAGAGCTACACAGTCATATTTGAGTATACCCAAACGGACTGAAATAAGTAGCATTTTGGGAGCAAAGAGACACACTGTTACACGTCTTGCTCGTTAATTTGCGTGTTATTATTATTATCAGCCCGATGGGCTCAGTCACCGAAGCCATTTCACTCCGGGCGACACTGAAAACATTTCATAGTGGCTCGCAGGTAGGCTGTGACGAGAGAGACCGTGAGGGAACCATCCTGGCGCCATACCTTACATAATCATCACGGCAGTACCCACTGAACATAATTACTATGATTTGTGCCCTCCCATTTCACCCTTGTATTAAAAAATATTGCTGGAGGTAAGTCAGGCGTGAGCACAGGCAAGGCTGCTGTGGTGAATGGAGTGTGGCCCCGAGGGAAAGCTTGGAGAGCAGAGCACGGTGTCATGCCAAAGAAAGCCAAGCCCCACCACCCCCAAACACCCCGCCCCGCTGGGGCCCGGTCATGCCGTGAGAACGGGATGACATTACCGGGCCATTTAGCTGGCGGAAGAGCAGAAAGAGGTGAGAGAGGCGCCGAGTGTGTCGCTTTTGTTATTTAATGGTTGGCTAATGTCTCGGCAGAGGGGGGGTGTGCCTCATAGCCAAAAATGAAAACAAATAGGTCAACATTATCAGCCTGGGATGTTGGTGCTATACTGTGAGGCCTTCAGGGTGCTAGTTTAACTGAAGACATTGAAGCATAACTGAAGTAGGCTATACCATTTCATTTTGCCCATCACTTGAGAATAGTTCAGTGTCTTGTGGCCCATATACCCCACACTTTATCCTATGGTCTATTATGAATATAACATTATATTATCATAGGAGCTTTATTGCTGCTGTATTGCTACACAGCATCAACTTACACAGGGCTTTGTGTATGTGTGCGAAATGCAGTCTCTCTATTCCACCCACTCTGGATCAATATGGATATTTATTTAATGTCAATTTGTGTGTCTTTCTGTGTGAGAGTGGGGCCATAAGTTAACCTACATGAGAAAGTACAATACAACTATCAATTTATGTTTTCCATATTAGCTATTAAAAAGGACTGCCAGCGTTGACATAACTCACTGATTAAATTTCCATAGGCTATAGCTACTTTGCTACTGTTTAAATGGCATTCATCAAACTCAGTAGGAATATCAGCAGTGTTATCATTTACAAATTGCTGTGACCTCGGGTATTGCAGTTGTCCTTTGGGGATGGAGATAAACAACATGGACTGACTCCCAAATGATTTAACCAGAATAGCCAATGACCTCCGTGAGGCCATACTGGTGCTGATACCGAAAGAAGTTTCTGTCATTAGAAATTGTACCCACTTCAAGAGGGAATGTTCAAACCTACTGTCACTCTATCTCCACCTTCTTCAGGTTGCTTTACTCACAGCTGTGTAATATCACAGATAAGGGTTAAAACAGACTCTGTTTTTGGCTATGGGAGTCAATCTGCCCTGGGGTGTGATGGTAACAATGTGATATGATGAACCTAAGAAATCAGAATTTTCTTTCTTTTTTTCTACCCTAATGAGGAATGCTTAGTCAGTTTCTTTTTATCCGTTGCCATGTGGGTCAGTCACAGACGCAAACGTGCTTTTAATTTATGTATAAGTGTTTTAGACCTTCCACTCTGAGTGGTATTTAATATCAATACCCAGCTCACTCAAACTAAGATTTTCATAAATCAAGTGCTGCTAAAGTAATCAGACTGGCCACTCTCTAATTGATTTAGAAACTGTTTGGTTGATGCCCACAGGCCTACAGCTAGCTGTATATTCATCTGATGAGGAAACTGAATGAATATTGGATGTCCTTCCAATTGAAATAGAAATTGCTTTTCATGTGTTTTTGCACTGCATTCCTATATATTGTGATACCCCTGGGTTATTTTTTTATCCTCGAATCCCTATTTTTTCGATGTTGAGGTTTTTCTCTTTTTGCCTTTGCGACAATCTTAATACCTAAAGAAACCTAAAGGTTTACCGACATCGCCTAAATGTGGACTTCTGTGCATCTTGTCAATTTGTCCCACTCTTGTGTGATTTTTCTTTTCCCTCCATGTGCCCCCTCTCTACGCCACTCGGCGGTGCTCACAGACTTCCACTCTCTGGAAATCAAATCGTCTAATCCACATGCCTTTGGAAATGGCAGAGGAAGCTTATAATACGTCGCCTCACCGTTGCAAAACGTGTGTTTGTTCTTAACAATAAAGAGCGGTCGGAACCGTCAGAGGAATCCTCCATCAGTGTATTTTAGTTTCGCCTCTGGGACCCGCATTTCAGCACCACGGAGCTGTCCGCCATCCAGGAGCGAAGCGAGGGTTCAGCGATTCTCTGCTTCTGCTGCTGCTGCCGTCGAGGATGAGGAGCTATAAGATGACATGAAATGTGGTTTAAGCACAAAATCAAACCTCCTAAGAGCGGCAACCACATTTTCAATCGCATCCTATCTGCAGCAAAATGCTTTTTTTTTACATGAATCGAAACATGTCAGGTGTAAATTGTCGTTAAGACAGCTTTACAGCTTATTACAATGAATAAGAACAGTGTGCATGTCAGTCACGAAGTAATAAATTGTTGATTTCGCCAATGTGTAGTTATTTGCTCTGAGTAGGAGCACAAAGGACCGTATTCTCTATATTTCTCTATTTATAGACCCTCTCCCCTCAGTGGAATGTACCACTCGCTCCTTGCATAAGAAAGGGGGGAACAGAAAACGCTGGGTTTGACATATGCCGAGTTTATAACGGGCCCGCTTCATTCAAACCTCCCCACTGTTCAGACGGAGATTGAACCGGTCCTGTCCGTTTAAACCGAGAAGACACCCATACCGACTCCTCAATGCAAAAAAATAAAAGGGTGCCAAGAAGCTGGGACGAGGGAACGTGGGTGTAAATAGACAGTGAACGCTCTTGGTCTCTCTCTCTCACTCTCTCTCTCTTCTCTCTCTCTCTCCCTCCCCCTTCTCTATCTCTCTCTTTCTCTCTGTCTCTCTTTTATGAAATCAATGAACGAGTTATTGGGTAGGACATAAATATAAGGAATCAAAGCCTCCACCGGGACCAACGGCATTGTGCGCTTTTGATATGCGTCTTCGCCAAATGCTACATGTGTTTTCACATCAATGTAAATATTGGCTTTGATAGGACGAGAGCGGAATCAGCTCTGGCACGGCTTGGTCTCGGAACCAAATTTTGACCAAGACTTCCACCAGCTTTTTTTTTTTCAACGTAAAACGATTTCTTCACCATCACCATCTACTGCTGTTGAACCCATCCCAACTCACTGGCCGGTCCGAAGATGGCAACTTTAACCAACGGGCAGGTGGACGGCACGGTGCACGGTGTCGGTGTGGTCTCCGCCAGCACGAACGGGCTCGTGAACGGATTAAGCCACAGCCACAGCCCGGCGGGCTGCCCGGCCACCATCCCCATGAAGGACCACGATGCCATCAAACTCTTCATCGGTCAGATCCCCCGCAACCTGGACGAGAAGGACCTCCGGCCCCTCTTCGAGGAGTTCGGCAAGATCTACGAGCTCACTGTGCTCAAGGACCGATTCACGGGCATGCACAAAGGTGGGTTATGCCCATATTCCCCGAGACAACTATGGCTCTACTTGTTTTTGTCAGTGTGAAATCTGTCACACACATTGCTAAGAGTGAGGATCCTAAATCATGCATGATGATTGGTAGAACTGCACGATTGTTGGCAAATTGTGTGATTTTCTGTAGTGCTCAAGCCTGAACGACTTTATGTAGGATGTGCTGTTGTCGCATTTGTGGCACCAAAAAAGGATTTTTTTTTTTTTTTTTTTTTTTTTTTAGACTTGTCATTGGCTCTGAAATTCAGTGCTTCATTTTTTTTCCTTATTGAGCAAACACCCAAGCATGAGAATGTCACGAATCGGGGAGTCACGACGGCATGAATTTATGTAGGCTGATATTAGGACGAGCAATGTTCCTGTTTGGGCAGTGTGCACGGGAGTATTCACACATCTAGTCCGGCGGTTGTAAACGTGCTTTCATTCACTACAGAGCTAAATCCAGGCCATTAACCTCACATTTTCACGTTGCAATAGCGAGGAGGCTGTGTTTGATTGCCCGCAGCAGAGTACACTCTGTTGCCCGTAACTCTCTCACTGTTAGTGTGTGTGTGTGTGTGTGTGTGTGTGTGTGTGTGTGTGTGTCTGTGTGTGTGTGTGTGTGTATGTGAGAGAGAGAGAGAGAGAGAGTGTGCGAGTGATGTGTGTGTGTGTGTGTGTGTGTGTGTGAGTGTGAGTGGGTGGTGGTGAGGGGGTGTCGCGCGTGCACGTGTGTACACACGTGTGCAAGAGAGAGGGAGTAGGCCTATGAATGTATTGTACTTCTGCACAGCCTTTAAGCTTTTTAAGATTTTCAGTTGCTTGTCATCACATTTATTCCTCAATGAAAATGAAACATGAACTGCAAAGCACAGGGAAATAGTTTTTAATTTAAATATATTTTAATTTCTTTAACTTTCTAACAGTGAACAGTTTATTATCTGGGTCTATTTTATTAACTTTATTAACTGACACAGAGTTTATCTCTTTGTTACAATATTGATGCCAGTGAATTATCGTAAACTTCTGGTGTGATCATGTTACGTGGCCTTTCAGTGTAATATTAACGACAAGCCTTGCACTTTTGGTGCAACAGGAATGATGGTGCTTTAACCTTCTATTTTATTTTCTACTCTCAAGGGAAGGGTCATTCTCTGCAAATCACTATCTAATGAGAGGTCACTAATTGATCTGCTGTACCTGCAGGACATCTCCCAGGGGAGCAAAGTACATTAAGAATGAGCTATCACTTTTTGGGGACCACTACCCACCCCATCCCCCACCCCACCCCCTGCTCTCCCTTTAAAGCCCCCCTCTGTCCCATGTAAACAATGTGTGACACGCACCATGTGTCAGGAAATGATTATGATATACAAATAATTCCAGAGGGTGGAGACTGTCTGCAGGCATGGGGGAAACCAAAGAGGGGAGGAAGTGAAGGGGGGGGGGGGTTATCTCTTATTAATAGCCCAGCTGTAGTAGCGACTCCCTGTTGGACGGTTAATCACCAGTGGGCCTAGAACTATAGGCACGGCTCGCCAGCTGATTCTAAGAACTGTCTCCTCACCGCGATATACGGCCCTGCTTCCTGGGCTGGGCCCCCGCTTTCATTAGCAAGCCCCCGCTGCGCTCATATTTTAACTAGCTGGAGGCACTAGCTACTCCCTGGCTCACCAGCTCATTGGCTCACTGCAAGCTGTTTGAAGGCCGCGTTCCCTCCACAGACTCCTAACACCTTCCTGAGGTTTCCGTAGAAGATTCCCAAATTAGCAGTAAAAGACAACACGACCCACAAACAACAGGCAAAGTGAGTGACTGTGTACACTGCCATCACACTGGTTTTATTGAAGACTGCACAGCATAACATGAAACAGGTAGAGTACGCTATCACAGCAAGAGTTTGAGGCAAGAGTAAACACAATGACAAAGAAATATACAAATGTCTGGAAGAAAAATAATATAATTCATCCTCCTATTTTTCTGTCTTGTAAAATTAAAGCCAGTTAAATCCATCTTAACCATTAATGCTGATGACAATCTTGTGATCAAACACATTCAGTTGTGTTGTTGTACTCACATTGATATTTTGCCTTTCCAGTGACAGTGCATCATGTTCTGTAAACGGCTGTGGTAGTACGTTGCCTCAGCTAGAAACGGAGATTGTAAATCATCGACTGCCATTCCCTATACAATTTTGTTCTACCTGTGTTTTTCCAAATTGCACATTGTTGGTAATTGTCATCGCTCACAGTGTAATACCTTATCTGGGACACGGTTGTGTCCGTTTAACTTTAACCAAAGAGACATGGCACTTTTACAAAGAAATAAGCTTGGTTTTCAGCTAGATAACACAGAGCTTTTTCTCTGCGCCAGGTAATAAAAGGCTCTCATCGTGTCCCGCTGTACATCAACAAGCCTAAAGAAACAGCCTTTGCTATGGTAATGCTACCCCTGAAGAAAGAGACCCCTATTATAGCCATTGTCAGCTGTGCCTGTGATACTATTGCCATAACCCTCCCCATAATGACTCCATGTATCACTAGTAATCTAGTCTTTAGGATTCTGTCCCCTTGGAATGGAGGGGTGGAGGGAGCGGGGAGGAGGGGAGCATGGGACGGGGGTCTGCAGAGGCTGGGAGTGGGCACAGGGACACCAGTGCAGGCCTACATTCTCCCAATGATTTTATTTCTCTCCCCTCTGCGACCGAGTCATGCTAATAGAGGCCATTTATAATGGTCACCGGCTGCTGCTGCTGCTGCTGCTGCTGCTGCTGCTGCTACCAAGCACAACGGGGCTGAGAGGCACAGCTAGCACAAAGAGCCAGCCCTTTCTCTTTCTCCTCTCCCTGGCAATGCAGCATGGGAGGTGGGGATCTATTCAAGAAGAGAAGGTGTAGATATGATTACTAGCACTATTCATCAGCCTGATTCCATGTAATGATCAGTGTTGCAATTGAGCTGTGATGATACGGGGAAGACATTTAATAACCGAAGGTGTTATCTATTGTTTACTGCTGTCATATCTTCAGGCAGTATTGTGTTTCGTAGCCAAACCTTTATTGTCTACATCTTCGTTTTTTCACAAGCAAATGCAAATGCAAGTGTCACCGGGTTTGTTTTACTGCTGTTGTTTCATTTGGTGGTAATTTAATGCGAGTAATATATTTGTCCTTGGCCAAACTAAATACATTAGCAACAGTTCTCAGACAGTTGAAGTAGTTACAAAGCCAGAGAGTTGCCCAAAGTCAAAGCAGGTGTTGAAACTTAGTTTAGATTTGGGCCAAATAGTCCATTTTGACCTGGCGAGTGATGTCAACAAAATGTCACAGGTCCTTAGTTCAAATCATCTGCTTTCTTAAGGTCTTCTTCACTGACAGAAGACACCACTCGCCCACTGTATGAAAAGAGCTGTGGTGATTAATGATAATACCTTGGCTGTTAAACCATTTTGTAATTTAATATGGATACTTGAGAAAAGGGTTATATGATCATATAAGGTTCAATATGTTTGAAATCAAACAAGTGGAAACACAGTGTAATGACCAACAGTAATCTTGTTTAAATTTACCCATACTGCAGATGGCTTATGCTACAGATGGGGGCTATAATCTGTGTGGGTCATAAAGGGAGTTGTGGTTCCCGCTGAATGCCTATGGTTTTGATATTTCAGCCCTTTTAACTGAATATGTCAGGGAAGCAGGTTCAGAACAGATCATTGAGCTTATCGTGTTTGGTGAGGCCAGGAAGTCATGATGCCAAAAACATGAAACACTCCTGCTGTGTTTTATTGCAGGCAATTAGGTGTTACAGGTTGCCATTAGAGAAGTACCGGCTGCAAAAAAGAAAAAAAAAAAAAGAGAGGGAAGGATAAAACCAAATTTGGCTTTGAACAAAGAAAGAAAGAAGGGAGGGTGTGTTTTTTCGTCCTGCAGGTCTGCGTTAATGCAGCATGCGTTCCGGCCGAAAAATTTCACTCCAGTTGCATCATCCTCACCGTGGGATCCTTCTCTCTCCTCCTCTCGCATTCAGTTTGGGATGAGTGTGTGTGTGTGTGCATGTGTGTATCTGTGAGTGTGAGTGTGTGTGTGTGTGTGTGTGTGTGTTTTTATGTGCTCCTCCTCTCCTCCCTGGCCCAGAATCCTCCACTCAGCTCAGAATGCACGCTCAGGCCCCACATAGTGCCCCGTTTCTATGAAGACGCACATCGCAATCAATTTTGAGTGTTTTGTCAGGGAGAGAGGCAACATGTGTCATAGTGAGGAGGTCACTTCTTAAAGTACACTCAACCACCGGCGCCACACCGTACCCGCTGGCCGCCCCCTGTCCTGGCAGAGCCCAGAACTGCCAAGCAACAAGAGGGAAACAAGAGGCGGAGCCAGAGCAGGGAGTACAGTGAGCCTAATTTGTCAGGAGGACCGTTGTCAAGGCAGCACTGCTTCTGTTGTCCATTATTATTGGAGGGGACTGTCAGATGGGGGCCGGCTGATGGCCGAGCAGGGAGCCAGTTAGTCACAGTGAGAGATGACCGCTACAAGCCAAAGGAGGGAGTGCTCATGGAACTCTTGCGAGGATTAGCATGCTAACAGCAGGTTTGGAGTCATGATGCCTGTCAGGGAGGTGGAGTCCTCTGGCTCCTCTGACCTCAGCGGTCCTCTCATTAAAACCACTGACCTTTACATACATAGAGAGAGAGAGATAATGTAAAGGGATGGCTGTACGTACCCATTCATCTCATCTCACCTCCTACAGACCAACTGAAACTGGCTGACACTCATTCAGCAAGCTCTCAGTGATTGCAAGTTTGGTGCACACACTCACAAGTGTACAGTATATACTATATACATTCAGAAGCACTATTGATTTAACTCGAAATACTATAGTTACATTGTCACTTACATTAACTTGACAGAAAACTTTTTTTGTGTTGATAGTTCAGGAGCACACACACACGCCTCGTACCATACAGTGAAATGGTCTAGTCAGCATATGTCACATA